TTTATACTTTAAAAACTAAATTTTTATTGTGTGATTTCATAAAAACTCAATGTACAACCTGCTCTTCAATAATTTATTTGTTTGCATCCTTATCTCAAGAAATGCGTTTTAGACACTCTATACTTCCATTAAAAAACTAACACTTTACATATTGTTTTCTAATACTGTAATACAAAATGTTATCCATAAAAAACAAATTCAAACAATTAACGTAACTAACTAACTGGGTTTAACGTCATTCCTCATTCCCGGGGATTTTGTAATTAACAAGATGGAAACGTTTAACGGTAAGCCAAAGACTATTTTGTGTTTACTGTTTATGTTTGGAGGTAAAAGCGTTTTCAAGATCAAAGACACGATAGCAACTGCAGCCACGGATGAGTGGTCTCATACACTTTCATGAACACAAGATTGTACAAAGTAATGTAAGGGATTGGTTACTTCGGCCTTAATTTTTGTTTAATTGGAAAGTCTAACTGGATGAAATTAGTAAGCCTGTTTGCATGTCTAACGACGCAAATTAACACAATACGATGTTGTGAAATCACGTTTAAGTGAATCTATGTTTTGCGAAGAATTGGCAAAAATGTACATCACACATTAAGTTTGAGAAGTATAAAACCAATTTATTTATGCCAAAAACGTGGTTATTGACAAAATTCTCTATTTTATTTACAGGTGGTTTCTACGATGGTATGAAAATTTTAAAATAATTTCTCGACTATGATTTTATAATATAAATAATTAAATGACATGTTAATAGATTTAACTTTAAAATGAGGGGGCTTTACACGTAAAATCCGAAGTAGGTTATCTAGTTTTGACAGTTGAATGTGAGTTAAACTTTATTAGTAAGTCCATAAAACATTTGTGATCCATAAACATGACTTGTTATCCCTTGTATCGGTGAATAACACGCAATGATTTTAGAATAATGTAGCAAGTCCTATACAAAACTGATTTGATAAGTAGCAACATATCTTTATTCTTACAAATTATGCTGAAGATTTTTTAACAAGTCATACTGTAGTCTCTGGGGTAAAATTCCATTCCAGAGATACTAATACTTGGAAGATTGTAACATTATTGCATTTAATTCATGATAAAAATAACATATAACAATTTTTTTTATTTATATGTATTATTTAGACATGAATACCCAACGACACACTTACTATTAGCAATGCACGCACTGTTCTATAAACGGATTTGTAAGCGAGTAACCTAAAGCTAATCAGCTGACTGCATACTTGACAACTACGATAATTTACTTTAATTGTATCTCTGACCACAGCCGACACTTTGCACTTAGTTGTCCTTCCGCTGCTAACTTTTAATTGCTTCCACTAATTATAACTCTTATCGCTAATGGCTGTTTATCTTTAAATTTGTCACAAGTTTAAATTAATAAGACTTTCCTGTTACGAGGTTTTCATGTAAACATGTTAAATTTCTATATTTCAGTAACTTAGCAAATGGTTTAAATAATGTTCTAGGTAATTTTTTTTTTTATTGCGTAGTCTGCGTTATGAAAATAACAAGAAATATATTTATTTGATTTTTTAGTTGTTTTAATACAATTATTTAGATTTTCAAATGTGTGTAAGATAGTTTAAGCTCTGTTCTTTTTACGTCGACAGTTTAGTATATTTTATACTGACTCTAATGTCTATATGTAGTTCTATTTGTCATTTAATGACATCTTCTTTAAGGCCTAACGAATAAATCTCTCTTAGGTATTATCTATTTATATTTATGTTTTATTAGTTCATAACATGATGTTTTATACAGAATGTGCGATATTAATCATTATGTTTGGTAGTAAAAATGTTAGACATAGTGTTATTAAATGATTGCTAAACAAGGCAGATTGTTCACAGACAGGTGTACAATTACAAGGTGTACTATGGTGATCTAAAATACTGTTATAGAACTATTTTGGTTATTATAAAAATCAAAATTATAATAAAAAATAATACCACGCGTTTATTTCAGTAACTAAGTAAGGTAATACGAAACTTGATTTGTTATCAGTCTTTATTATGAATATGGGTTATTCAAGTCTAAGCTATTAGCTTAAGTTTGAGGCCACAACTTTACAATTCTTACCACAAAATATAAAGTAAAGTTAAGGACTGCACTGCCATCGCACCCCAACGAGATCTAGGGTAGATACAAGAAGACACTAAATACGAAGCGTCGTGACACAAATTGTAGTAAACATGTCTTACAACGGGATCTTGATAGTGGATACGAACATCACGCACTGCTCTGCTGGGTTCTGATATAAAGATACAGAAATATTCTGTAAATATACTTTAAATATTGGAAAACATGAGTCAACTTAACTAATTACATACATATATATATATACATACAGTATTACAGTATTACAGTATTACATACAGTACATATATATATATATGTCCATCTTAAATTACATAGTTAAGTGATAAAAACTACCAACGATTTACAAAAAAAATCTTTTAATTAATTACCTATACTTTAATTTTTATTATTAAAACTAGACTTTCTTTTAATATGCCAGAAAGCTACGTTAGTCTACAAATTGGATTTGTAGAAGAGAAAGATTACGTAGACAAGGCAAAGATTGAACAAAGTAGAGCGTACCTTTACTTGTTTCCAATTAACGTTAAAACGTGTAATTAAAAACCTCTTCGGAATGTTTTCAGCTTGGTAAACACAGTGCGACTTTTAATTTAAACCTTGAAAGAAAACTCTGATTTAAAACTCCCTACGTGTACAGTGCCTTGCCTAGTGTTTATCTTTGAAGTCAGGATGTATTTTGGTTTTAAATTATAGACTCATTAGAAAAACACCAAACCACGAAACAGCTCCCTAAGCTACCCTAGTACTGTGTATAATGTAGTATTAAGATGACTCTCATAGTCTGCCGCAATGTTCAATTATTAAAAAATATTATGCATAATTATTAGTAATGAATACCGGCCAGTATATTTTGTGAAGGACTATAGATAAAATATATGTATAAGTAAGGTATTTTTATAAGACCTAAGCATATTAGGATATTATAGCGCAGTAATATAGATACTGTATATTGTGTACCCTTTTTAATAAGTTTAAACATGTTTTGTATTTCTGGTTCAACTCGATTGTAACAGTAATTTTTAATGTTTTTAAGGTACAGTAGTAATCAAATGGGAAAATATTTAATGTTACTTCACCATACAAAATACAAAATGCTTCATTGTCTTGTGACGTTGTATTTACAGTTAATTACAAATTTAAAAAAAAGTTCTAGCCAACCTCAGCAAATGCATAGGTGTAAATTTTTAACTCAAAAATTGTTAGATATTGTACTTGAATATTATTTTATAAAATGCCAAAGAAGTGTGTTATAACAAGCCTTTTCTCAGATTAAACCTTCTAAATCTTTCCATAAACTTCCTTTTAGAATGTGAAAGTTCTTATAACTCTCCATTGGTAAAATAGCGTTAGAGTAATTATCCTTAAAAACGAACACCTTCACATTGACAACAAGACTCTGTCAAATGTTCGATTATAAACCCTATGTTTGTCAGTTCAAATTAACAAAAATGTTTAAGTTCGCATGTTATTAAACAAAAAACTAAAGAGACATATCTAAAATCTAGACTGTATAGTAAACTGGTTAAGGATCTAAGTATGAAATAGAACTAATATTAAACCGAACAGGTTCTCTATGTTACTATACATAAGTGTTTAGATTACCAAGTATACATCGATGGGATTAAGGTTGGTCATAACTCTAAGGGCCTTATCTCGCAAAGAAATGTACTTACGTTGAAGGAAAATTAAATTCCTCACGAGGGGCGGCAAGATGCATTGCACCACTCACACTAAAATACTGATGGAGTAGTTTTTTGCTTTGCAAAGGAATAAAAATTGTTTCAAAAATATATCTTTTTAGAATTAGGATCAAAACATTGGAATTTTTTTAAACCCAATATAGCATTCATAATACATTTAAATCAATGTACACACACAACACATAAACATATGAACAAGTATACTGTATATACACATCTATATTAACATTTAAATCATGTTTGGTGGTATTTACATTATGACCAAAGCATTCTATTGGTTATTTTTATATACTAGTTTTAAAGTGAAACATTGTTAGAAATTGAGAGGTTACTTCTGTTTTTGCCGAAGGGAAAGTGGGTAAATGTCGCATGAACTAAGCAGATTCTGTGTTAAGGTAATCTATACTAAAATGTTTAAAGCTCTCAGTTGAGAAAAATAATAAATAACAGTTACCTAAAACAAAGTAGTAAAACCTATAAAACTGCTTTTAAAACGTAAACTGTTGCTCGAGTTAATCATTTGTATTTAAATATCGGTGTTTATTAATATGATTTCTCTTTAGAGACTAGTTTTCAAATTAATTTCGTTACATCGTGGAAAACCTTTGAAAGTACAATATATGTTTAAGTATAAATTATTTCCTAAAATTCTATCTAAATTTAATACTGTTATACAATATAGTACTGAATCGAGGTTTATACTATTTGTTTATCAGTACTGCAAGCCCTGATTAGTGTTTGTTAAAAGAACAAAAGCCAGTTAGCTATAATCTTTGAGCTTCAGTAATTTATTTATGCTCTAAGAATTAAAATTAAAGCTTGTTGCCCTTTTAAACAAATTAAGGCCCGCCTCAGTGTGCTTGCCGAGCGTTCACACAGAAGAGGTTTTTAATTAGACAGTTTAATGTTAATTAGCAAGCAGTATAAGCTGTCAGCGAAGTTCACAGAGTCTTGGTCAAACCGTTGCTGGGATTTACCAGAGGGCTGAAATCATTATAGTTAACTTATGACGTACACAAATGACTTTTATTACTTGAATAGTTTGAACATTTAAATTTTACATATATTTCGTCCATTTAAACCAAGAATTTTATATGATAATGCTACTAGTTTTGCACTCTATGATAAAATTGACCATAACAATGTAGAAAATGATATTTTTTGTTTCAGATGTCAACATGGTCGCAGAACCAAAACCACACCAAACCGGCAGAAAGAGACAAAACGTCGCTAAAACTGGAAATGACTGGTTAGTTTTTGTATTTTTCAGATTTTCTCATATGTATTTTTATGTATGTTCAATTTTACTAGCTTAATTTTCTCTTTAGATATTGCTAGTCAATGTTCGATCATGCCTTCTATTTGCAATGTTTTTATAGTTTGTCCTATTTTTTTCCTTTGGCATTTTTACATAGTAGATTACGTTTAGTAAAGGTTTACGTGTTCAATATTCATTCGCATATCGAATAGTTAAGATCCACTGAATAATACGAGTAGAAAGCTTAATAATAAGCTGATTGCAATATTAAAATACTTACCTAACGATCATATACATCACCCTCTAATTATGTACCCTATAACATTGTATAGCAGGAAGCAAAATCATAAGTGTTAATTTTTTTAAATCAAGCTAGCACTATTGAATCCACTTACTGTTAGATAGCATCGACACATAAATAATGGATAATGAAAATGATTGACCTTTATAGATCAAATAAAAAATACATAGTCAACTTTTCGTGATCTCGTTGTCTATGTTTTTAACATAGATAACGTGGTCACGAAAAGTAGACTGTGAATTGGTCAACAAAGATTTAAAACTACAAGTAAACATCTTTTGTGTTACAGATAGTAATGTTTATTTTTTACAACAGTATAATGAATAGTTTGATAACATAACAACCAACTTCTGCGAATACATGACCTAATTAACAAAACTTTTATCATTAAATGAAAAAAACCTAGGGATTGCTATTCATACAAAATAAAATACTCACAACAGCACAGTGCCCAATATATCAGCCAATTTAATATACCTAACTCAACCTAAAACAGCATCTAATGCGGTAGAAGGTATAAAACAATGAGGTAAGAACGTTGCAGCGGCAGTGACGTTTAAAAATGAAGGAGAGGAGAAACAAGCGCGAACTCCTGGGAAATTACCGGCAATTGAAGCTGAGACTGCGCTATCAACTAGTTATGATTCCGCCCAATCGAGCAAAGGCCTCGCGGATACCGTAGCTTGCTTAAGTGAGATTAAATCTCGTCTCAAACTTATACAGGCCTAATTAGAAGTTTTATTTGGTAAACTTGAGCGGTTCATGGATATGTTGTTGTGTGTGTGTTGATTAATTCAATTTGTAGAGCAAATGTTTTTACAGAAATTAATTCACTATACGTCTAATATCACTTGAAATGTATATTTACACGTATACTGTTGCCTCACAAGACGGTAAACACATAAGTAAGTGGTGATCGATTTTGAATGGACACTCTAATCATCATCAGATCGAAAATGCGAATTGTGTTAAGCATATCGGTAAAATAATTTCAGAAATTTTTAGATAAAAGCTAATATCCACGAGCATTTTCAAAAGATTTTGACACGCACAGATATTATTGAAATTAATCTCTTAGACGAAATATTACCAACACCAATTAGATAGAGCATTTCGTATTAACTGTTTAAGTATCAATTTTCTTTAGTTTACGTTATCACTGTATTGAAATGTCCATTAACATATCCAACATATTAGATTGGTTTATTAAAAATATTCAAGCTCACAATTAACCATTCAAATAGCATAACCGACTCCACTACTTCAACTAAACACATTTCCGGTAGTTAAAGAGGACTATGTTGTCTGTCATAGTGTCTTAAGACATTATTGAGAACCTTTCTATGATATGAACATGATATTTTCCAACCCATCAGAGTTGAAAACCTTTACTTTATCACTGGAACTAACGGTTTTAGAATACTTACCCGTATCAGTTTTAGTAATTGTAACACCAACATTGGATGCTGTATTCCAAATACAACTCAAAAGTATGATGATGTCTTCTTCGTTTCTAAATCATGAATGAGCAAGAAGTTTAGAGCATAAACCATATATACAAGTGTGTGATTCAGAGTGTTCCCTTTGCCCTGAAGTCTACTGGCAATACCTATGTCCCTATAACCAGAATACCAAAACGGTCATAACTCTCCTGTTTTCCTAACCAAGTTGCAGCTGTATTTAGATTAGCTGTTTCCCGATGAACATGAGCCAATCTGAAGGGAAGCTGAACCAATTACAAGTTGGTCCATCACTTGACAACTTGATAATGCGATCAAACTCGTGGCTTCGATGATGGACTTTCCAAGCTTGCCGTTATTGGCTAAGGCATGCTAAATAAGATTAAAAACTCGAATTGGTTTTCATGGTTAAAATTTTTATTTTCCAGAATATGTACCATCATGGTTGTCTTGTTGTCACAAATGGGGAGAAATAAACATAATACTTACGGGGATTGTTAATCAAGGGGTTGTTAATGAAGGAGGTACGAGAAGAAAGTTCCAAACAAACATTCTGTGAACTACGAAAACGAATGGAAAGAATATTTTATCATATTTTTTACGTGAAAGTGTTAAATCCCCAAACGGAAATGTCCTGGCATGACTCAGATTGAAATTACTATCTCAGGAAGTGAACAAATAGGTCTTGAGTTATAAAGTTATAAATAAAATATTTATTGTTAGTGTAACTTGTAAGCATTTGAAAACCAAACTTTAAACTTTCTCTGAACATTATTACAAAGTCAGTGTAGGAGTAAAACATTTGCAGCAAAGTCTGACGAGCATGAACCACGTCTCGAGATATTTTTAATTAAAGTTAGATAAAACCTATGCATAACAATGACAAAAACGTCATTTGCACGAAACAAACTGCTCGAGTTGTAAATGTTTTGTTGAACAGTTGGCCTTATTAGTAATGCAGATCACGAGCCGAAAAGACAGCGCATTGTAACGTTGAGTTGGCTTCCGACTGCCTCACTTCTAGAAAAAAACTATCTTAGATATCACAAAAAGATACAGACTTCAAACTGTCTTGCCGGGTAAAATGTCAGTATGTTTAGTCCATAAAGTATACATAAAAAATTACCTTTGTTGTGTTCATTTAAAGTATGCTACGTTAATCAAATGTTTAAGTCAGCAAATCCATATTAGCTATAAATTCATGTTTAAGTTCAAATATTATATTATAATATTTCGAATTACGAAAGTTAAGTGTATAAAGGTAATATTTTTTTCTTAAAAACAACAGTTAACTGATCATCTTTCTTGAATTGACTCTTTCATAGAATCATGGTTGATTGACTTGCTCAAGTACTTTTCTTTTTCAAACTTCCTCAAAGGTTCTAATGCCAAATTAAGTATTTTGTTAGTGAATTATGTACATTTCCCTTTCGAAATTTGTTTTAAGCCAGTCTTGCAAGAATTCCGTCGATACATTGTTGGATGAATTTAAAATTTTGCAAACCTAATTTGAATTAAATGACAATTGCTTATCTAGGCAATAAAAGCTCGGGCCAGATGGTCATTTCTTCCAAAAAACCTACGTGTGCCTTAAATATGGGTTATATAGGTAGGTGTTTTCAAGCATTTAAAACATTTAAAACATTTCAACCTCACCAAAACTTTAAAGTACTGTTCTATACAAATTTATATGTACGCTTTGGCTGTTATTTAAGTGTACTCATACAATTGTTTTATTTTTTATTACTTTAGTTTACGTCTTAATCTTAACAGTAGTTAACAGCAAATCTCAACACTTCAAAAATAAAAATATTAAACCTTATTCTTAAGTTACAAAAAGGATATAAAGTAGAAAGCAAGAGTAAGGACCTCCAGGGAAATCTGTGGCGAAGAAAATATTCCCAGCTCATTTAACCATGATTTGATCCAATCAAAACAATTTGAACCGCTCCAATTGACTTTAAGTGGCTTACTTTGAAAAGGATGGCTAATTTGTTAAACAGATCTTGGCTTTTATGCTACCAAATTTTATTCCAACAAATCTTGCAAAGAACTATAAGATTATTTTACCTTTATCAGATTTACATTTTTGAATTCTTACCTTACTTTTTATCCTTTTGTAAAGACTACTTTATCTCCATACAATAACGAATTAGATTTAAGTTTTGTGTATTTTTTATGGATAGTGTCAATATGACTGTAGCTCATAGTACTTAAATCCTGAGACCACTGCTCAGGGGTCACTTACTGTTGATCACCAAAAACTTGCTAACACGGCTTTGTGGTTTTGAACATACTTGAAGCTATTGTCCAATGCATAATAGTTGAAAAACATAGGTATTACAGATGATGAGTACTTTCTATGAATTGGAGAAAATTTCCCACTTAACATTTATCAATTTTTAATGCGAAATTCAGGGGAAGATTGACTGATATTTCTGTACTACAAATCTATTTTTTTGGTTTTTACATTACAATGCTTGACGCATCGACGCTTCTACCAACGGCTTGCAGCGATGTTGTATCGGTTTGTTACCTCGCTACTCTCTACAATCATTGAAACGTCTTGTTTTAAGTTGTTGATATTTTTCTGCTTTAAAACTATTACTTTCACAATATTTTTTCTGCAATAAAAATCGCCAAAGTCAATCCATGTCCATACGGATTGAGACAAAATATTATTCAATACCTTAGTTATATCGATTTTAGTCCACTGATGCTACAGTTTTAACATTGACTTCGGTTTCCTTAAGGCTTAAAATGTCTTCTAACATAAGGATTTCGATATGATGGTTATTCAACTGTACTTAGTTTATCACTTAATATTGACCATTTTAAATATTTTTTACATAAATCACAATACACTATATTTCATATCTTAGTAGTATTGTGAAAATTTTATTTTTACCAATATGTGAAAATAAGGAGTAGCTGGACATGTAATTCATTCAGATGATCTTTAAGTTTTGACAAATGTTTTTAACATCATAAGGAATTATCAGTAAACAGCTATTCTAAAAGCTGTATTGAATTATCGAACAGTCCTTTATTTCCAAACGCATTACTATGATACAATTTATTCGTCACAATTGACTCAAGCCACTAATATGGTTAGTACTATGGGTTTTAAGCTTGTAATCAAACGAGAGTGCCTTATTTAAGCCATAATCTATGTGTCCGTCTACAAAGCCATGGCACACTGCGGATTATGTAGCTTGGCGTCAGCTGAT